TGGATATGTGAATTCTTCACTGCCCAACACTCAACCCCATACAACATAGCCGGTCTAACCACCGCTTTGTAAAACTTACCTTTGAGTTTCGGCGACACATTTTTGTCACACAAGACTCCAGACGCTAACCGCCATTTCATCTACCCCACCCTAATATGATGCATGACATACTCGTCGATCTCCTCATCTCCCTGGATGATTGACCCTAGGTACTTGAAACTTTCTCTCTTGGGGATGACTTGTGAGTCGAGCCTCACTACCATGTCCGCTTCCCCCGTCACGCTGCTGAACTTACACTCCAGATATTCCGTCTTTGTCCTACTCAACTTGAAACCTTTGGACTCCAGGGTCTGCCTCCAAACCTCCAGTCTCTCATTCACGCCTCCTCGCGTCTCATCAATCAGAACTAAATCATTAGCGAACAACATACACCATGGCACCTCCCCTTGAATATGGTGTGCCAGGGCGTCCATCGCCAGGGCAAATAAGAACGGGCTAAGCGCAGATCCTTGGTGTAACCCCATAACCACCGAAAATAGCTCCGAGTCACCTCCCGCGGTCCTAACCCGTGTCCTAACTCTATCATACATATCTTTTATCGATCATACATATCTTTCACAACATAGGTATCGAAGAAAATGCATAAAAATTTTCATTTAGCAAGAGTGCCATTTTATATAAAAAGGAGAAAGGTATATAGTAAGACCCCATATAGGATTATGCATAGGAAGTACATGACTTTAAGAATTACATAAATACTTATAAAATAAATATCATAGAAAAAAGTGTAAATTCTTTAAAATGATCAATTTCAAAGGATGAGGAGAATTTATTTTATATTTATCCTAATATAAAGATATCTTCTTTTTAAAGTCATTATATTCGGATTTCCTCCATAGTTTAACTAAAGAAATTAAGGAATTAGTAAAAAAACTTTTAGCTGAATTCAAAGTTATAATGTTAAGATTTAGTTTATCTTTAAGCATAACTTTTTGTATCGAAGATTGCCGATGACCAAAGAAAAAGAAGGAAGATATCAAACAGATTTAGAACGTAAGAATTGAACCCAACACGAAAAAGAAGCAAAAGAAAACTTACCTAGATAATTAACTGTTGGGTTTTGAAGACCAAGGAGGCTATCCTCCCTATAATAACTAAGAAAGAATACAACAGTTGTCCCATAATATGCATACAAAACAAAACTTAGATTTTCATAAAAAAACAAAAACTCTATTACGTAATATGAAACAAAGAAACAAACTCACATGTGATTAATCAATCATGTCAGTACATATAAAAGTTTAAGAAAAATAGAGCCTATTTTGTATTTTAATTCGATATAATATTTGAGTGTCTCTTTTGAAGGAAGTATAAACCGTTCTTTTTAGGACAGGTAGAGGAAGTATTCTAAGTCTAGGACAGTTTAGAAGGGCTCTGGAAAGTATAATTCACTTAGCATTAGAAGGTGAAATCTAAAAGTTATAGTTCAACTCAGATATAAATGCTGTAAATTTATTTAGCTTATTATTAAAAGGACAAAATTGAAAAAAAAAAAGAAAGCATTACGACTAAAAATGGTTGCCCACCAGAAACCAGAAAATCATGCTCTCTTTGATTTAAGAATAGAGTTTTGAACGTTATTTCTGAGATTATAGCCTATTATCAATAAAAAAAAAATAAAGTGACCTCGAAATTAAATATTCATCTTAATCATAATCAAGATAATAATTCAATTTTTGTCTACCTAGATCTCTCTTTTTTTCTTTACTTCCATATCGACACCTTTTTATTCTATTTTACTGTTCTCTCTCAACCACAAATTTAGCTTCACGTGAAGACATGACAAAGAATGAGAATTTCAAACACCAACTCTCAAACTTTTATATACACGGGTTATGGGTACATTGTATATAACAAAATGGCTTCTTCTCATTTACCTACGCATGGTTATTCGATATTTGTACTGGTCCGAGATAATTGATTCGACAAACTATTTGAAATACGCGAACAAAAAATATTAGATCAATTAATAATTTTTCTATAGAATAAATCATAGGCATGACATGGAGAAAATCATCAGTATTAACAGAATAAAAATCATACCGATAATACTTCTCAAATAAATAAACAGCCTTAGATCTAGACTTGCCAGAATAACTCAGGTTGAACTCAAACTTCTTGTCAAAGCAAAAATAGGGGATAGCTCCAATATTTTTCTCCAAAAAATAAAATATTTATTAAATAATTACAAGTATATTGTTGAAGTACAAAATTACAAACTTGATCCATTTTTGAAATACATAGAAATATGGAATCAGTTTATACAAAGAATTCATGTTACAGAAGGATACAAATAATTTCAAACTTGGTCCATTCTTTAAATACATGAAATCAATCTCCACGAAAGAATTTATGTGGAACCTCCTTGATTTATTGGTGTAAGAAAATAAACAAAATTAAAGAATACACCTAAACCTGCAAGGAATTCAATGTGTCGAAATAAAATTGATTGGTTAATATTTAATAACAAACAAAGAGCCTCCTAAACATAAACCTACAATTTTATAACCAAAAAAAAAAGATTATTACTCCTAAACCTAAAAGGAGTTCAAAGTGCACAAAATAGATTGTTTGGTTACAGTTCAATTATAAATTTGTTATTTTATATAGTTTAAACAAGGAAGAATTTGATACACAAAATATAAGTTATTTTAAAGGTCTAAATATTAGGAAAATATTTAAATAAAGTCCTAAATATTAGAAAAATATCTTAAATTATAATTTTGCCTAATGTGTAATATGTTTTTAAAGGGTAAAAAAGGCAAACAACATTTCGATACGGGCTTCGTGCTTTTAATATAGTATATAGAGTATAGATTAGATATTTTTAAAGAGTAAAAAGGCAAACAACATTTCGATAGGGGTTTCGTGCTTTTAATATAGTATATAGAGTATAGATTAGCTAAACTCAAACTGCTTGTAACTAAAAGTACTTTTCTGAAAAATACTTTTTGAGAAAAACTCTTTTCAAAATAAGCTAATTTTAGAAGTTTGGCCAAACAAACTATTAATTTACGTAGGAAGTAACAAGGTTTCTACTATCCAACAATTAGTTAAACAACATTTTGATACCAATAACAATGATTAATCTTTGTAAGACAACCAGAAATATTTATTCACCATGTGATAAGCCATATTTTCTAATTGAATTATTGAGTTAAAGTAACATCTTCTTTGCAAATGTATTGCATGACTTTCTTTTTCTTCAAGTATTGCATAACTCAAAATTAAGAATTACATAATCTCACGTGAACTCCACCGTCACACCAAAACCAATTCTACCATCCTTCCCCCAAATGGCCCTAAATTTATCCGAAATACTCCCGAGCCCTCGGGACCCTGTCCGATCATACCAACTAGTCCCAAAATATAACACGAACCTGCTTGAGGTCTCAAATCACACAAAATAATATCCAAATCACAAATCGCACTTCATTCCAAACTTAATGAACAAATCAAACTTCCAATTTCAAATTCTCATGTCGAACCACGTCTAACCAACCCGGAATGACCTCAAATTTTACACACAAACCCCAAATAACCTAACGAATCTATTTCAGCTCCCGAAACAACAATCCGAGTCCGATAACATCAAAGTCAACTCCTGGTCAAACCTATGAACTTTCCAAACCTTCAACTTTCTAACTTTCGACAATTAGAGCCAAAACATCTTAGGAACATCCAAATCCAAACCCGTACATACGCATATGTCCAAAATCGCCATACAAACCTATTGCAACCATCAAAATACGAACCCGATTTACTCAAAAGTCAAACTTTGGTCAACTCTTCCAACTTAAAGCTTCCAAATTGGAACTTACTCTCCCAAATCAACTCTGAACCGCTGAGGTTAGACTAGATACTTAGTGGGTACGCGTTGATTTACGTATTCATACTACACTTCTACACTAATTGTGCAAGTAGTGAGACAGGTCATCTAAGCATGTAGGCGCAACTGTTGAGAAGACTTTGTGGTGAGCTGCATTCCATGTTACGATCCGTAGCACACTAAGTCTCGTCCTATTCATTTACTGTATTCTGTCTATTTTCTATTACAGATAGTTGTTGTAATAGTATTCTATATTCCAGTAGATGCTCGTGCACTTGCAACATCAAATTTTGAGGATCTAGACTATTGTTCTCGGTTGCATTTCTTATATGACATGCGATTTTATATTATCATATTTAATCATGAAGATAATATCAATATTTTACTACGAAAATGAGATGATTTCGCTTATTTATTTCATTTCTTGTTTTGAAAAGTGTTATGAAATATCGTTCGTTCATTGTATTGATTTACTTTGGCTTGCCTGACGGCGGCATTGGGCACCATCACGACCTATGGTGGGAATGGGATCGTGATACGAACTAAGTGATAAATCTCAAAACGACCGATCGGTCGTTACATTCTCTCCCATTTAAACATATGTTCTTACTCGAACGTGCCAAGAGTCATTCCCAAAGCTGGCAAATAACTAAATAACTCACCATACAAATACCCATGTATGAATATACTATCACCAAATTGTAAAATTTTATAGTCGAACATTCCACCGATTTGAACGTCAATTAGTCTCTAGTCTTTTGTCCCAACGCTGATAACTTGGAACGTCAATTAGTCTCATTAGTAGTTCTGTACCTCCGTTGGCATGATTTGACATATGAGAAAAATATCAATTTCGAGGTGCAACAACTACTCATTCATTTGAGAGATATTATTGAGTAATTCCCAAGACATTTTTACGCTTGAGGGGAAACGGAATTGGTATAGCACTTCCATCAATTAGACATCGCTGCCTGCCAATTGGAAAACTTATCTTTCTCTTGTCCAGATTATTACTCGAGCTATGGGCCTTAAGGACATGACTTTACCAAAAGATCTCCACATCTCATATAGTAAACTAGGATTTAATGCGTCTCAATCATGAGAAATCATATAATGAAGAGGAAACGACATAGTAGTTCTGCAGTCGGAACTTAAAGCGCATAATTCATGATGTTAAACACAGGCATTTTTAGAGTCTAGAGAGCAAAACAAACTTGTTTGTATTATTGTATATCAACATTCTCTCTGACAAGTCACAATTTCTAAACATCTTCGGGAAGCAGACGGCAAAACACCAGCATCCTTCACTTCTCTTCACACATCAAACTGGAAAAGACATGCTGAGGAAGCAGAAAGGTGCAGGTGGCCCGATATCAGCCATATTCCTTCAGACTTCATTGGAAAAGCATGAAAACTTTAAACGGTAAACAACAGAGACAAGTGAAAAAGCTTAAAGGAAGACCTCATTCGCACCATAAGTCATAACTGCTGGTTGAGATAATGGTCTGCATCTGACTTTCCTCCACCGCCCAAATACCCTGCAACAGTCCCAAAAACATTTGAAACAGCACCACTCAACCAGGAGGTACTTCGAGTTACTAAGCCGGTCGGTGTCTGTCCCATCTCTTCAAGCATAATCTGTGGCTCTTCTGCCATCAATATGTCTAGCCGTCGCTTAATCATATAAGCCTTTATGGCTTCGGCCCCTTCAACTATAACTTCCTTTGGAGGTATCACAAGAGGGTTCTCGTCCAACTTAAGCACAGTCAGGTTGTCAAGGCGGCCAAATGTATCAGGCAGTTCATGGATCTGGTTGTTGCTCAGATCAAGTTCCTTTAGATTTATCAAATCACCAATTGTGTCAGGAAGCTCAGTTAGGTCACTGAAATTGTTACTCAGGTTGAGGATCTCAAGATTTGTCAAGTTCCCAAATGAACGTGGAAGCCCATGTAGTTCATTGAAGCGCACATCTAAAAGGCGCAGGGACTTTATCTCACCAATGGAAGTGGGTAAGGAACGGAGCTTGTTAAGAGAAAGTGAAAGCCTTTTTAGATTTACCAGTTCAAACCCAATATTTGTTGGCAAATAAGAAAGCTTGTTTAGGCTTGCATCCAACTCCACTAACGACCTGCAAATCAGGCACAATAAAGAGTAGTCTGAGAGAACTGACAAGTCTAAATTAGTGTCTTCGGGATGGGTGAAGGGCTAAATAAGCTCATTTCTGAACCACTATTACCTGCAATGACAAATGCTATCCGGCAAAGTGATAAGCTTATTTCCAGAGACATCTAAGATCTTCAAACTAAACAGCAGACCAATGGAGTCTGGCAGCGATTCCAAGAGATTAGAAGAGAGATGAAGCTCCTCAAGGTTTTCCAAGCTCGCAATTGAATCAGGAATAACCTGTTTTCCCCAGAATTTTAGAAGCAAACAATTGCAAAAATTTGACATTCCAAACAACGTGCCTTTGTTCTCATTCAACCATCACAAACAACAATGCATATGCATTTTATTAATATATGTTACAGTGGCATAAATATTATGCAATTGGCAGATACAAGAAGCATGAAGAGGATACCCAGGAGGGAAATGATGCACTTAATTGGCAGTTTCAGAGAAGCATCGGGACATTATCCATATTGTTAAGCAGAAGCAAAGTCTAACAACATGGCATCTGTATCCACTGAACAGGAAACTGTATGGTACCATATATAGCAACGGAACTAGCTTCAAAGATCAAGTACCCACTGGTTCTCTAAATAGAATAGATTTGTTGTGACACATCACAATGGACATCGTTCCACATTTAACTTTTAAGGTAGTCAACAGTATTACTTCAAGTGATCCATATGACCCCTACTAGGTACAGATGGAGTAATTGATTGATTGAGCACCTATACTATGATGAATTGACAAGCAATAATTATAGAGCTCTAAACTTGCTATGAACTTCTTAATTAAGGTAACAGCAATGGAATTTTCTGCCGATTCAAATGGTTGACAATATGACAATCATATTCATTACCACCTCTACCAAAACTAGCTGTCCATATTTGTTTCCCTATAGTCAAACAAAGTGATCTTTGACTAAGACTTCTAAATGTATTCTTTCATCACTTTCATACAACAAAAACTGCAACCTCTATCATGCTTCAATATATGAATTGATCTATATCAGATTTAACTTTGAAATTGGTCAAATTGACCAGCAGAAAGCAAAAACTGACAGATAAAATGGAGTGGAGAGAATACAATATTACCTTTTTGGGGGGACTTGGATACTAAAAGACAACTATCAGGGAGACGAGAGTGGAGACGAGAGTGCAGAATAATATTATCCTTTAGTTATTCTTCAAGAAGCGCAGTGGACCCAGGAATGATAATGGTGTGATGAGTAATGTTCTCCTAGAAGGGACAAGAAGAGTAACTGGGTGCTCAATTCAAGTTTACCATAATCAGATGTGAGGTTCTCAAGCTTCTTGCACCTTCACCAGTTCAAAGAAACCTAATCCCCTTTAATGATGCCCACTGGTTCCATTGTTTGATCTCTTCGTAGTGAAGATACAAAATTACTACTTCTTCCTTCCTAAATAAGAAGACTGGCCGGGTTCAAAGTACCAGGTCAGTCCACTTGATTTCTGTGTGATTAAGTTTTAAAAAAATTTAAAATAAAACTCGCATACTTAGAAGCTATACGAAACTAATATAATTATGATTTTTTTATATTCAAAAGTATTGAAATTTTGTAAAAATATCCTACTCAAAGCAGAAATTGTTTGACTCCCAAGTAGCGTAGTGTCATTCTCTTTAAGATGGACTCTTATTATTCAAAAGAAAAAGTGTCTCAAAAGCCACAGGATGATCAGCTTACAATAGTAAAAAGCAGTAAACCATGTAACAGAGTTACTAATAAAGCGCGGAAAAGGTGCAGAAATAGAGATAGAGACCCTCTAAACCCATCAGCCCCAGAAATTGAAATGACATTCATGGTACTCAAATCCAGAATTACATTTTATCTAGCACTTTGGCCCACTTTCAGCTACTACCAATAGGTATAGCATAAAAAAAACAAAAAGACACCAGAAAAAGTCGTGCATGATTGCTGCAGCTCTCACCTTACCATATTTCAGCCATCTAGCTATAGACACATCCGGTTAAAAGTATGGCTAGGAGTTTGATATACATTATATAACTTGCCACGAAATGCAACAAGTCATCATGTAGTTGACATTTTAATACAGACCACAAGTTAAAACCCAAGAAATGAAGTCGAGAACAAGCAGTATGAAATGTAACTTCAAGTAGGGATTTTGGAACTAGGGCATACCGCGAGTTGGTTATTGGACAAATTAAGCACGATTAAGGAGCGAATCTTCCCAAAAGCTTCAGGCAGCATCCTCAGCTGCCTGCCGGATAAATCAACCCTTTCTACACTCTTCCCTGGCGCCTCCTGCAAAATAGCAATAACTTCCTCATTCACTTCCTCTTTGAACTCAGAACTCTTCTCACCAAACGCCTGTTCAAGTGCTTCCGCATCACCACCAGCAACGGCGGTCTCATAAATCTTCTCCAACCTTCGCTCCGCGTCCTTCAACATCTTCTCATACGCCTCGTGCAACTCATCCAAAGCTATCAACGCCTTATACTCCTCTTTCTCCTGTTCCGCAGCCTTTCGACACTCGTCCTCTTTAACCGCCAAGTCCGATCTCCAATCCTCCCTCTCCATCTCCGGCGGACGTGGCGAAAGGACAACCTCCTCGAGACGCTTGGACAAGTTGGCTTCAATCTCGGCTAGCTTCATCCTGGAAGTGTCGACAAGCTCGTGATCAGGCCGCTCGACTAGGGTTTTGAGCATTGATCTGGTCTGTGCCACGTCAGCAACGGCTGAGCTCATTGCGGCGACGACCTTAGGGTCGGTGAGATGAGGCATACGGTCGGTGATGTCGAAGTGAGGTTCTTTGGGAGGTTGAGGGAGGGGTTGGGGCTGTTCGATGTCGAATTCATCGGCGGCGGTGCGTTTAGGGCCAATACTGGGAAGCTTGGACATGACGTAGGAGAGAATTGGGAATTTGGTAGGGTTTGGATCCATGGCTGCTGCTACTACCGGGGGATTTGAGATCAGAGATTATCTTCTGAAATTGAGAAGGGATTTTCGGGTTTTAGAGTTGAAAAAGAGTAGTGTGATAACTGATAGTGTGAAAGTATGCGTCAACTCGTGTGCAGGCCAGGCCGGCTCACGAACTAATCCATGATAACCGTTTTCTACGGTTCGATCGCATCTAAAAGATAAAGATAAAATATAAAAAGAGATCGCATCTCGATTTTTTAGAAAGAAAAAGAAAGGAGTATTAGTTTGGGGGTGTAGATCCAATCTGGACTCGCTTTCCCCTTTGTGTATTCATATTACTCTTCTTTATTCGTTCTTATCATTTTACTCTTCACTACTAGAATTTTCTAAAATTTGAATGTGACATTAATCTGTGTTTTGTCATAAAATTGATAACTTTTTAGCGTTAGTGCCAACCAATAATAAGTATTAGATCACCTCATTTTTACTATCCAACTTTTTTCCTAAGGTATTGACACAAATTAAATGATAAGGCTGAAATGAAATGTAGATAATACTCTATCAAGCTTTCGAGCAGTCTTGATGTTTAACTGACACTCAATCTATAAACATACTCAAGCAGTTGGCACTTGGCAGATATATAGGGACCAGACCTGTTGAGAAAGCTTGCTAATAGAAAGAAATATACTCTTAAAACAAAGCGGACAAGTCTAGAAATGTCGAATCCGAATTTTTTTATGCCGAATTATTGATCCAAACTTTATTTGATCTTGAACATCTATTCGTAAAAAGTTATTATACCCTAAAACCTTAAACTTAAAAATTATTGAAGAAATGTTCAATTTTAAGATTTTTAACATTGAACCCATTATATTTTTAAAGTTATGGGTTAATATCTACTATTTTTACAATTTTAATGAATTTTTACATACAAATTTTTACTTCGCGTCAAAAGTTATGGGTTCAATTGAACCCGCGGCCACTAAATTACGTCCGCCTCAGAGGATGATTCTAGTAGAACTAGAATAAATAAACAAACGCAAACAACAATCAAAGGCATTAAAGCTGGTGAACAACGAGTGAATAGTACTTTAACCACATTTTGTACGTTTTATTTTGTCTTCCATTGACAATTCATAGTTTACATGAGAGATCCTTGAGCAGTGCAGCTCATCCAAAAGAGACTTGCTATCATCAAGCATACTTGTGTAGAGACCGAAATTTTAACGGATCAAGTTAAAACATAAATTTAAGATAATATAAGACTCTTGAAATCCTAGGAACCTATTAGGGTTGCTTGGAAATTAGTCTACCCTAAACCTTAACTCACACCTCTATAAAGGGATACATATTCCCTTGAAGAGGCGTCTCAAAAATCCCATAAACTCTTGGGATATTTGCAAAGAGATCAAAATATGGTCGGATACTTCTTGACAATCAAATAGTTCAAGAAGCTGGAGATCAAATACATCCCAGGAGGTCTGTATCATCCTACATTCGAGAAATACGCTATCATTTAAGTTAATATCTCCAGAGTATAAACAGGGGCGGAGCTACAAACCCAGCTATGAGTTCGCCTCATCCTATAACTTTTGTTCAAATAGTGTACATGTTAAAAAAATTCTTTAAATATATACAGATGATACCTGCTCGTAGAATTGAATGACACAAATGAATGAAAACAGAAATGCAGTCGACCTTCTTCATCTTGACACCTAGCACCGTGCCTAGCATCAACCCCTCGACCTTTGCGCAAAATTATTATAAGTGAGGGTTCCACATGGTTGACCTGTTAGAACATGTGCAGCGGAAGCAAGCAAACAATTCAGGTATCAAATACATGTAAACTAGACAATGCTATAATTGCTAGATTAAAAGCACTAACCTCTTGAAATCATTGCACAAATCCTCCACATAGCTAGAATCCAGGGCTGCAGTCTTCTGCTATATGCCTAGTAAAACCTTGGACGAATTTGCTTTGAGTGGGCAAGAACAATACAACTCTAAAAAGTAAGTTATTGGGTGAAATTAGTCTTCCTTAAGTAGACTAGTTTTTGGCCGAAAATCAGCTCCAAAAACGTGTAGGATTCTACTTGCACCAGTAGAATAATGCTCTAACTCTACCGGATGACTTTTCTTCCAAGTCACTTTTTACCCAAGTTAAGTCCAGGTTTTTACTAGGTATAGCATGGACCACAGAAATAATAAGAGACTGTTAATTATAGCATTAATTCGAAATTAGCATGAATTAATTCTTACTATAATTAATTACAGTTTATTCCACCAAAAAAACAACAATTGAACTCCTCAATATGAATTTTAAAAATACAGTAACACTTATTTTAACTCCCCATGTTAAGATCTCAAATACCAGTTAATTAAATTAAATCACTGAAAATTTAATTTAATCAACTAATTAAATCCTTTATACTTTCGCTTAAACCATTTCATGTGACGGATACAAAATCCACCGGCCGGGTTTTCATATGAAAACTTATGAGCTCACATAAAGGGGTATCGTCAAACTCAAACCAAGTCATGGATTCTATCAACTAATTATTATTTCACAAATGTTATTCGTTATTGTCCAATCTATTAGGCATACACTAACTCTGAATAGAGTCGTACCTTTTGATAAATCAAAACAATAAACAAATTACATTGATCATAATAATTATATCAAGATTAGGAGTATAAGCTCATTTAATGAATTAGAGAAAATGTTTTATATATATATTCAGTACAAAAACATCTTTTCTCTACTTGGTCCGTTCAATATACATTATGTATACTAGCACAAGAAGTCGGAGTAAAACCACTCCCATAATCAAGACAAATTATACCATAATCTTGTGCTACAATCATCAAGATATTTTATCCAATAATATCTTTGATTGTGAACATAGTTTATTAATTATGTGAATAATTATGTGAACCGACAATTTAATCTTTTGTGCATGAGCTAAGACTCCATACACTAAATTGTCTACTACATAACTAAAAGGACACACATGTAACAAATGATCTATTTAAAATAGTACTTTATTGAAGCGAATAAATTAAATAAATAATTATTCTATAATGAATAAAATAAAATACTATGTCTAAACCGCATGGTTAATAGTATATCCCAACAATCTCTCACTTAGACTCATAACCATGCGTCTACTACTCTAATACTCATTCCTTCTACATGCTTGTCAAAAATCTTGTGTGTCAAGCTCTTTGTAAACGGGTCTGCCAAATTGTCCTCTGACGCAATATTCAACACTCGTGCATCACCTCTCTGAGTTATGTCCCGAATTAAGTGATATTTACGCTCAATATGCTTACTCATTTTATGTCTTTTTGGTTCCTTCGAGTTTGCAACTGCACCACTATTGTCACAATAAAGTACAATCGGTGCTTGAACCGAAGGAACTACATTAAGCTCTTTTAGAAAGTTCCTGAGCCAAATAACCTCTTTAGTTGTCTCACATGCAGCCACATATTCGGCTTCCATGGTGGAATCAGCAACATATGATTGCTTGATGCTCCTCCAACTTATGACTCCACCTCCTAAGGTAAAAATATATCCTGAGGTAGATTTTTAGAATCTCTATCTGACTGGAATTCTGAATCAGTATAGCCAATGGGTGCACACCTGAGTGATACACCAACATATAATCTCAAGTCCTTTTCAAGTACTTGATTATATGCTTAACGACAGTCCAGTGTTCTCGTCCAGGGTTAGACTGAAATCTACTAACCATGCCAACAGCAAAGCAGATATCAGGTCTAGTACATAGCATAGCATACATGAGACTCCCTACAGCAGAAGCATAAGGATCGCCTTCATCTTTTCTATCTTACTAGTCATTTTTGGGGACTGATCTTTCGACAGAGAGATTCCATATCTAAAAGGGAGAAAGCCTTTCTTGAAATCTTGCATGCTAAACCTGGTGAGAATAGTATCAATATAAAGTACTTGGGATAAGCCTAATATCCTTCGCTTGCGATCTCGCATAAGCTTGATCCCAAGGATATGTGCCGCCTGCCCCAAGTCTTTCATATCGAAACGTGAGGATAACCATTCCTTTATTGAATTCAACATGCTCACATTATTTCCTATGAGCAAAATATTATCTATGTACAAAACCAAAAATGTAACTTTATCTCCATCCCACTTCTTATAGACACAAGACTCATTTTCACATTGATCAAAACCGAAGGTTTTAATCAATGCCTCAAAACAAGTGTTCCATGATCTAGAAGGTTGTTTCAATCCATAAATAGATTTCTTTAATTTACACAACATGTGCTCATTGCCACTTTTTATGAAACCAACTGGTTGTGCCATATAGATGCACTCATCAAGACTTCCATTTAGAAAAGCCGTCTTGACATCCATTTACCAAATCTCATAATCGTAACGAGCAGCAATGGATAAGAGAATCCTAATGGATTTAATCACGGCTACTGGCGAAAAGCTTTTCTCATAATCGATCCCTTCTTTTTGAGTAAACCCTTTTGCAACAAGCCTAGCTTTAAAAGTTTGCACTTTTCCATCCACTCCTCTCTTTTTCTTATAGATCCATCTACAACCAATGTGTTTGACTCCAGTAGGTGGTTCTACAAGATCCCATACTTGATTGGAGTACATGGACTCCATTTCAGATTTCATAGCAGCAACCCATTTATCAGCATCTGTATCATGTAGTGCTTCGTCGTAATTAATAGGTTCCGTGTTGGGTTCTTCAGGGATTCTATCATAAGATTCTCCCAAGAGCGCAAAACGGAGAGGTTTTCTTATAATTCTCCCACTACGACTAGTCACTACAGGTGCAGTATTTTGTTGTTGAATTACAACATTATTTTCCGGAACTCAACCGTCAATGTTATCCTCCATACCTTGCGGTGTTGGGATATCATTAACTTCTTCCTGGAGTGCAGGCTGCATAACAATTTTAGGTTGCTCAATAATCTGAGGTTGCTCAATAATCTGAGGTTGCTCAACATTACCCCTACTACTTTGGGATAGTGAGATGTCAGGCAATTGCTCTTGTGCATTCTGCTGCCTATTAGCATTTCTCCCACTACGATAATGCAGTGGTATGTCAATACTGGCTTCCGAAATACGTTCCATAGATGAGTCATTAGTTACTCCATTACTTAATTCCTGTAAAACTAGTTTACTTCTAGGAATATGGTTCATTAAATAGTCCTCTTCTAAAAATATGGCATTTGTCGTAACAATTACCTTCTTTTCTTTGGGACAATAAAATAAACCGCCTTTAGTTCCTTTTGGATATCCAATAAAAATGCATACTTC